CTTACGAAACTGGCAACATCCTTCATCATTCCCCTCCACCAGAAAGACCCTTTCAGGTCATGATACATCTTGGTGCTGCCGGGGTGGGCTAGATAAGGCGCGGTGTGTGCCTCTGTCAAGATCTTTTTCTGCAAAGCCTCGACCTTCGACACTACTATCCTGCCTCGGAACTCTAAGGCGCCATCTGCGCCTCGAGAAAAACCCTCGACTCCTTCGGCGTGAACCTTGGCCTCAATAGCACGAATAAACTGATCATGAGCCTATTCCCGCCGGATTCTGTCTCTCAACGTGGGCTGAATTTGCATCGAGCTAACACTCCCTGTAATCACTGCAGGAAGTGACTCGATGACTTGAATCTGCATCCGGGCAAAGTCTTGAATAAGAGAACGCTGCTGAGTAATAGAACAAGATAACTCGCCTTTTACCTTTCGGCTCAAGGCATCAGCTACAACATTTGCTTTCCCCGGATGATACTGAATCGTGCAGTCATAATCTTTAACAAGGTCCAACCAACGTCTCTGACGCATGTTGAGCTTGCGTGAAAATATACTGCAGACTCTTGTGTTCGGTGTAAATCTCGCATCGACCACCATAAAGATAATGCCGCCATATCTTAAGTGCATGTACCACTGCAGCTAACTTCAGGTCGTGAGTAGGATAGTTCTGCTGATGGGGCTTCAACTGACGTGAAGCATATGCTATAACCTGGCCGTCCTGCATAAGTACACACCCCAAACCCCGCTTCGAAGCATCAGTATAAATGGTGAAACTCCGAGAAAGATCAGGAATAGTCAACACTGGTGCCGTCGTAAGCCTCTTTTTCAGCTCTTGAAAACTCGACTCACAACGGTCTATCCATTCAAATGTCACAGACTTCCTCGTCAACTGGGACAAAGGGAGGGCAATCTTCGAGAACCCCTCAATAAATCTGCGATAATAACCTGCAAGGACGAGGAAACTACGAACCTCGGACGGATTCTTTGGTGCTGACCAGTTCTGAACTGCGGCAATTTTGGAAGGATCTACCTCAATACCTGCTTGAGTGATAATGTGGCCAAGAAAAGCCACTCGCTGAAGCCAAAATTCGCACATGGAGAACTTTGCTTACAACTTTTCTCATCTAAGGGTCGCAAAAACGGCCTCAGATGCTCCTCATGCTCTTTCTGACTCTTGGAATAGATAAGGATATCATCAATGAATACAATAACGAACTGATCAAGAAAAGGATGGAATACACGGTTCATCAAGTCCATGAATACGGCTGCGGAATTACTGAGGCCAAACGGCATAACCACAAACTCGAAGTGACCGTATCTCGTACGAAACATTGTCTTAGGTGTATCAGACTCCTTGATTTTTAGCTGATGGTAGCCTGAACGCAAATCGATCTTAGAAAACACGCAAGTACCCTTCAACTGATCAAATAAATCATCGATCCTGGGAAGCGGGTACTTATTCTAGATCGTCAACAGGTTAAGATCCCGGTAGTCGATACACATACGCATGGATCCGTCCTTCTTCTTAACAAAGAGAACGGGTGCTCCCCAAGGTGAGAGGCTCGGTCGAATAAAACCGAGATTCAACAACTCTTGAACTTGGGTCTTTAATTCCTGCAATTCTTTAGGTGCCATTCTGTATGGCGCCTTGAAAACGGGTCCGGCTCCAAGGATAAGATCGATAGAAAATTCCACCTGTCGGCTAGGTGGACCACTCGGAAGCTGATCTGGGAACACGTCCACAAACTCACAAACAATGGGAATGTCATGAGGTGACCGTGCCTTTGGCTCATCTCCAACGAGGCTTACAAGGTAACCCTGGCAGTCACCCCGTCGAAGAATCCTCCTGGCTTTTGCCATAGAAATAATATGGGGCAGAGTACGAGTCCTGGAGCCGAAATAAGTGATCTGATCATCTCCCAGAAGATAAAGAGTAATCTCCCGGTCATGACATCGGATATCTGCGTGAAAACGTGTTAGCCAATCCATACCGAGTATGAGGTCAAAATCCCTCATCCGGATAACATAAGCATCAGTAGTCAAAATACGGCCGCCGATGGAAAGGCTAAGATCAGTGGCTCTGGTATCAGTCACTATCTTTCGCCCCGAGGCTATACTCATCTCGAGAGAATCGACAGTGGTAAGAGAATGAACTTTTATAGCTTCGAGACATCGGCGTGATATAAAAGAGTTGGTTGCTCCGGTGTGAAATAAGGCATAAACAGGCACATCATTAAGAACAATCATTCCAGACATGGTACCTGGGTGCTGGTCGGCCTCCCTCTGATCAACTGCAAAGACGCGGGCCTGTTGTCGGCCGCATTGCTGTTGCTGGGGTCGTGGTGGCTGTTGTCGACGTTTCTGCTGTTGTTGAGGTTGCTGAGGTGGTTGTCGTTGTTGTTGCAGTCATTCTGGGCAATTAGGACTGATATAGCCTAGCTGGGGACAAAAGAAACAGATGTTCTGGCATACAAGGCATTCTCCACGGTGGCTCTTTCCACATGTCGGGCAGTTTGGTATCTGTTTGGGCCGAGTCTTCTGACCATCTGGGCCTCCTATGAACTTCCTCTTCTTCTGGTTCTTTGATGATTGGGCAGCGTTAGGCTGGGCTGGTGGCTGAGCAACTGGCTGGGCTAAAGTTGGATTAGCTTCTCGTCGAATACTGGCATCTATCTCCTAGGCAATGGCGATTGTGCGGGCGTAGGTCTAGACACCATGACCTACGATGTTGTGGTGGACTGCTGGGAGAAGTCCGTCGGTAAAACGAAGAGCTCTCTTCGCCTCTGTACTCAAAAGATCAGGTACAAAGGATCCGAGTCGGGTAAACTCTCTCTCGTACTCGTCAACAGAACGAATACCCTGTCTGAGTGCCAGGAACTGGCGCTCCATATCTGCTCGGTAGTACGAAGGATAGTACTTCCCGCAGATCAACTCCTTGAATTGGTCCCATGTACTGCCTTCTTTCTCGCCGGGACGCATACTCCAATAGGCATTCCACCAGAGTCGGGCATCACCGGTCAGTTGGATTTGTGCGCATACCACGCGATAACGATCAGGACAATCCTTGACCTCGAAAATCATTTCAAGGCCCTGAACCCATT